AGTATAATGTGACCTATCCAATGTTCAATGTTTGTTGCTTTCAGTAGGTACAACTTAGAGGTATTCCAATGGATTCGCAAGGATTTTGTTTGATCGCTCGTGTGATTTTGTGGCATTTCCAATCTTTCTCGGCGCTCGAACATCATCCCTAAGGTGACTGTGGGTAACTTTAAAGTATTTTATTTTATAGGAACTAGATGCTTTTAAGGTTTTCTGCTATTAACACTGTAAATCACGGTCTGGTGGTTGTTTAAGAATGAATTTGTAGATAGATTGAGAACACGGTAATGCACTTTTAACGCCTCTGGTGTTCCAGGTGTCCATGGGCGACGCCGATGGCTTACCATCAGGTGATCCGCTTTCTCGTTTACTTGCTTATGTCATAAAAAAACATTACTTTTTAAGTTTTACTTTTATTTCCCACGCCTAGCGTGTTGGTGAACGTATTGTGTTGCAAAATCATTTTAATACTAGGATATTTGATATGCAGTGAAGTAAGATTTTTGTGATGGTAATGTTCGACTAAATGCCATATAAATGGATGTTCACGCGACACGCATACAAATGAACGATCAAACGATGTAGAATCAATTTAACAGGAATAAAGGAGCGTGCAATACCAGTCAGGACAAAAGAGGCGGCTTATAGTACGAAACCATCTATCAAGCATTTTACAGCACCGTTATACATACATTTGGACACATAATGCACCACAACGAACCATAACATTCAAGCAATAGAAACCTATACTTAACAATACAATTAGTGTTTTAGAAAAAAAAAGGTCTATGTAAGAGTCAGATATCGCTGGAGCACAGTATCTAGATCGACGTAGGCGTAAAGCACGCCTTTCTTCAGCCACGAGAGAGACCACTCATGCTCTACCTCCTTCCTCATAATGAAGGCGGTTGAAAGCACCGCAAGCCACTTAAATCGAGGGAGTCTTGTTAATTCCTTAAAAACTCAAGTGGGGGAGCATTGTTCAGAGACCGCCTCGCTCGTCTGAACAATACGGAACCAGAAGTGTCGAGTCACTGACCCCAGCTAAATTATGATCGCAAAAAGCTGATTTTAATACATACTTAATGACGAAAATGTATGGTTAGGTTAGAGCATGCTTTTGTTTTCTGCTTTAGAATGCCTATATTCATTATTTAGATACCTAGCTAATATCAGCTAAACAGTAAACTTTTAACTAATGAAGTTATAATTACCGAATAGTATTAGGTAGTATTCCCAATAGTATTACCTTAACTCGTCGAGTACCGGTTTTATAGACACAATTATAGAACAATAGGTTGCGGTCACCGGTGACCGCTTGGTGTTTGACAGTTTAAATTAATAGTAACATAGGTTTTGTACGTTCTAATACAAAATGTCAACAAAGAACCCGTATGTTATCGTAAGATAGCTCATTAATTGTTCCGATGATAGTAAGTATCGATGTGCCGACATAATTTATATTGCAGAACAATCTCTGGCCGTTTGCCAACGACTACTGAAGGGGAGTTGTGTATTCATGGCGTGCGAACAATCAACCTGTCGGATAACACATGTAAATACCTACGCACAACATTTAATTTATTGTTTAGCCTCACAAATTGGTCACAGCGTAAACAAAAGGCTTTTGAACTCGCAAACAATTAAATAAAACTTTGACCAATTATACCTACTGGGTAGATATTATTATGATGATGATTTTCAACAGATCTGACTGACAGGGCGTCATAACCTATTCTATGTAAGTATATCATTCACTATTATGTATTTAGGTTATATGTAAGTATATCATTCACTATTATCTATTTAGTATGTATTCATATCACTGCCTCGTTGGCCGAGTGGTCGCAAGTGCGACTGCCGGGCAAGGGGTCTCGGGTTCAATTCCCGGGTCGGGCAAAGTACTACTGGGTTTTTATAAATTCTCAGTAGTAGCACGGAGTCTGGAATTGTGCCCGGTATATGGCAATAGGCTCACCCCCTATTACATGGGACTCATAACATAAATAGTGAAAAGTGGGTGTTACATTGTACAGTGGCATAATGTACACCTCTGTCTACCCCTTCGGGGATAAAAGGCGTGATGTTATGTTATGTTATGTTA